GACCCATTTGGGAGCGAAACCCAAGAGGTGCCCGCTTCACTGCAGCATCTGATCTGTGAGTTGCCCTGGCCCCCCGGAGGGACGCTGTCCCTGGCTTGCTCACAGGGGGGAGGGGTGCCCAATGTGCTGCTCCGCTGGGGGCCTTTGCTCAGGTGTCTCTGTGCTGGGTCCCTGCATGGGCTGGGGGGAGGGGAGAGGGACGGGGCTGGGACGGGGGCCAGTGCCCAGTGCAAGGTCTGGAATAGTTGAGGCTCATCCTTCCTGGTGGGCACAGAGCAGGGCCGGGACCTGTGTTGCTGCTGCTCCCGTCTCAGCATGTGCTGCCGCCGGAGGTCATCTCACCGTGTCCTTGGCAGGCATGCACCGGGCCTTCGTGGTCATGCTGCCACTCAGCCTCGTCCTCCTCGTCTTCGGCTGGATCTGTGGCGTTGTCAGCTCTTTGGCACAAAGCTGCCAGCTGCTGCTCTTCACAGGCTGCTACTTCCTGCTGGGAGGTGAGTGGCTGCGGCCGGCGGGTGTGGGCAACGTGGGGGGATGTGCAGGCCACGCTCTCTCTCGGGGGCTCGGTCCCTGCCGAGAGCAGCCAGGGGCCCAGGGGCTGAGGCAGTACAGCCATTGGGGACGGGCTGTTGACCTGCTGAGGCTGCCCTGGGTTTTCAGCCGTCTCCCATCGTCGCACTCGCTGCTCAGGGGTTCCAGCTCCAGGCCCTGCTGCCCCGCGCTGGTGCGGGTGCAACACAGGTCCCGGTTTCACTGGCACAGACGAAGCTGAAGGCGATTGGATAGTGCCTGCCTCTGGCCCTGGGTTCTCTCCTTGCTGCTGCTGGGGATGTGGGGCTGGGGAGAGAATTGCAGTGCGGGGGTTGGGGGGCTCCCTGAGCAGAGAGCTACAGACCCCTGCCCAATACAGGCCACCATGGAGCCACGCTGCCCCAAGGAAACGGCTGCCAAGTGACCCTGAGCTCCCTGGGAGCTCTGTTCCCAGCCCCTGGGGAACGGGCAGGACCCCTGCAGCCCTGGGTGGGGGAGGGGCTCTGCGAGAGGTGGTGGCATGTTGCTCTGTACCCTGTTGTGGATCGGCAGGGCCCCCTTTGCGCTAGGCGCTGTACAAATAGAACCAGAGTCCTGAGCACTGACTGGCTCCTGCTGGTGGGAGTTCAGGTTTTCAGCTTGAGCAGAAGAGAAGCATGCGGCCCCTGGTGGGGGAGGGGCTGGTTTGGGGTCTAGCAGGATTGGCTCAGTCTGAATGTTTATGGTCTGTAAGCCCTGCTGTCCGCCCTCCTGCCTACCAGGGCTAAGCTACACCCGTGGGGCCAGCGTGGGGCCAGGGCCAGCTGCCTGGTTCTCTGCCGGTGGTTGGGGCTGAGTTTTGAGCTGCCCAGTCCTGCCCAGCCTCTAAACTAAGCACATCTTGAATTGTCCCTCGGCCCCATCCTCGCATCGGAGTCATGGTGGGCGAGGGAGGGGCACCTGCTGGCTGAGGGGAAGGTGGGGGGTTGGGGCTGGGACCCCCCTTTCCTTGCTGAGGGGAAGGAACAGCCTCACCTGGGGGGACATGCAGAGACAGACCAGTGTGGGCCTGTGTTGCCCTGGCACTGGGGGGGACAGAGACCGAGGGAGCCGGATGCAGGCTGAGAGCCTGGGGCAGGAGTGGCCTCTTCACCCCCACACCGTTAGTGGCTCTCTTTGCCCCTGGCCTGGGATCTCTGTGCCTCCCTGCCTATCCCTGGTCTCTCCTCCACCCCACGTGCCAGTGGCCAGGGCCCTCTCGCTCCAGGCTGGCTGGGGGTGACAGTTCTGGACGGGTCTGCTCCTCGCTGGTTGCGTCTCAGGGCTGGCTGCAGGATTCTATTCTGCACTGGTCCGGGCCCCTCTGCGGCCAAAGGAGAGTAAATAACCGAGAGGCTTTTTGCTTTGAGGGCAGCAACGTGCCGGGTCTACAACCCAAGGCTGTGCAGTGAGCGGCGTCAGGCGAGAGCGCTGGGGTCGAGGCTGAGCGCTAGTTTGCACGCTTGGGACCAGAGCCATGATGCTCTGTGGCTGCTCCCTGCCGTGTGACCTGTGTGTGTGGGGGGCTCTCCCTGGGCCTGGCTGCTCTGTGCTCACTAGGGACCGGACCCCATCAGTGCCTCTGCTGGGAAATCTCCTCCCCACCCCATTGGTGGTGCTGTGCCTGGAGCAGCCAGGACTGCTGTGTGCTGGCGAGGTGGGGGGGCGGGGGAGGGGCCACGCCAGAGCCGGGGGCGACGTACAGGGTCTCACTGGAACCCGGACACCTCCCACTTCTGTTTGCTGAGCTCCCCGTCGCTCAATAGGACTATGAAGCACATAGCAATTCCTGCCTGACCCTGAAACCCAGCTGGGGCCGGGGGTGACTGGGGATGGCCAGGGAATCTCTTCCATTTGTCACCAGCTCAGCTGTGACTGATTTGCTGCCAGGCAGCACCTGCCAAGTGGCCAGAGAGGAGCAACTTAGGTGCCACTTTGAGCATTATTCGAGATTCGCTCCGTGGCCCAGTTCTGTGCCATGGGGAGCGTCGGCTGCATTCCCTCACTCTGCCCTTTGAATTCCACCTCAGCTCTTCCCCGGTCCCGGGCTCTTCTCTAGAGCTTGTGTTCAGAGGGCCAGGCCCTGTGGGTGTCCCAGGCACCCCCACCCCTCGGATGCGACTGCACGATGGGAGAGCCAGTCACGTGGTACTGGGGGCAGAGGCAAAGCTGCCAGGAGTTCTGCAGCGTGGGCTGTTGACCCCCCACCCCCAGAGCTGTCTCCACGCATCGACCCAGGGCGAGGAATCCTCTCGTTCACCAGGACATGTCTGCCCCCATCGCTGGGGCAGCTGAACCGCAGTCTGTTACGGGGGGCTGCTCGCCCTCCTGCAGCAGGGCAGGGCTCCCCCCTAGTGCAGACAGGAACAGAGGCTCCGTCATGCAGTCACCTCGGCCAAGCCCCCAGGTTCGCTTAGCCTGGCTGGCAGCAGCTGCTCTGCAAAGCCACACACCAGGCGCTGCGGCCTCGCTGGTGCCATGCCACCCGTGGGGGCCCCAGAACGTCCAGGGACATATCCCAGGGCTCATTGTGCTGCAGAAAGCTGAGTTTCCCTCCCAGTGCATTGGGGGAGAACTGTCAGTGCTTCTGGGCACACGGGGACCCATGCAAAGGGGCTGGAGCGGGGTAGCTGCAGCCTCTCGGCAGGCTGCAAGGTGTGCTGGGGGCAGCTAAGCCAGCATGTCTCAAATGTGGCCACCAGCACTTCTCTGCAGCCACGAGAGTCTCCTGAGCAGAGATGGGGGCAAAGCAGCAGCCCCCGCTGTGGCTCCTGGGTGCGCCGGCTTGGTGTTTGCTGGATCAGGGCCCTGCACCACACAGCCCCCCCGGGAGCTCTGGGCAGACGTGGGGCTGATGTGCATGGTGCCGAAGGAACCCAGGACTCCCCAGCAGCTGGTGAGTTCCCAACCTACCTTCATGGGGGTGGTGGTGGGGCTCGGACAATGGTCAGAGCGGCCACCAGCGAGCATTGGGGGCTGCACTGTGAGGCCACCAAAACCGTTCCCCCTGGTCCAAGCGCCTGGGCACAGCTATACCCGTTGTGCTGCTGCCACGGCACCAGACTGGCCCAGTAGCCGCTGGGGTGAACCTGGTCAGGGCCCCAGGCCAGCACCGAGCCCTGTTGTCTCTGCCTCTCGCAGGCCTGCTGACTCTGACCGGGATCAGCGTCTACATCAGCTATTCGGGAGCGGCCTTCGCCGAGACCGTCCGCATGTACAACCAGCAGCACTTTGACCACGTCCGCGTCAGCTTCGGCTGGTCCATGGCACTGGCCTGGCTCTCCTTCAGCTCTGAGGTACTGGCTGGCTCCCTCCTCCTCCTCGCTGCCCGGCTCCTCAGCCTGCAGCAAGCCACACGCTCTGTGGCCATCTGAGCCACAGGGAGATGGGCAGGGACCCCCCAGCGCTCTGCAGCCTCCTTGGGACTGACCTTTCTGCCATCCGGTGCCCCACGCACCCAGCTGCAGGCCCCCTGCATTGCAGCCCCTGCTGCTGGGAGGGAAGTGGGTAGGGGGCAGAGGCTAAAGCCCCACGGCAGCAGGTCCCTCCACCCCCTGGTGCTGCTGGCTGCAGCCTGGATTCCCTGAGTTCTTGGGGCTGGGCCGGGTGGCTGGCTCCCCTCAATCCAATGGACCCTGGCTATGATGGAGGCCAGCCTGTTAGAGAGGGCCTGCACCCTCCCCACACAGAGCCAGCCGGCTGCAAGGAGGAGGATGGGGACAAGGGGGAGCACAGGGCAGATGGCTGCTGCACCATGCTCAGACATGGCTTGTGGAAGCCCTGGAGCAGAGCAGGGAAGCCCATCAGACCGGTGTCAAGCCTGGGGTGAAGGAAGCAGCACCAAGGGGCAGTCAGCCCCAGCCTGACGCTTTTCTGCTTGCAGCCTGCCACAGCCCCCTGCTGCTACGCTTCAGCTGCCCTCCCACTGCCAGAGCACCTGGCCTCCCGGCTGTCCTGCCTCTGCCCAGCCTCTGTCCCAATAAAAGGCTCCTCTGAGTCCATAGCCAGCAGCTGTCTGTCGTTGGAGCCTCCCACACTCCCAGGCCCCAGGCTACCACAACCCCTGGGGGGTGAAAGAGCTGGAGGCCCGGCTGCCGCCTGGCACAGCCTTGCCACCACCCCTCTGCACCAGGGGCTGCTGCAATCCTGCCTTGTCTGCCCTCCCAGAGCGTCCCACGTGCTGCCTCTCCCCGGGAAGGAGCCGAGCTGAGCATCACCCAGAACCCCTCTCTGCATGCCCCGTCCCCCGTGCAGCGCAGGCTGGGAGCGAGGCCAGGCGCCGTGCCGTCTCCTGTTGAGGAAACTGAATTTCTGCAGCCACGCTGCAGTGCTGCTCCTGAAGGCCCTGGGGCTCAGGCTGTGCTTGTCACCAGGGGCTGGGCTGCTCTGGGGCTGGGCCGCTCTGGGGCTGGGATCTCCCCACAGAACAGCTGGGGCCCTGCACAAACAGCTTTAGCAGACAAACCCCTGAGCCAGGCCAGGAGCTTGTTCTTTATTTAGCCGCAAGGAAGCGGAGCAGCCGCCGCACGGCTCCAGGCACCTCGACATCAACCCCCAACTGCAGCCAGCCCAGGAGTGTTCAACCAGGAACTCCGGCGACTCCATCGTGGGCTGCCCCAGCAGCCCCCTTCAGCCTCCCCTGCAAGCCCCCGTGCCCCAGGGCTCTCAGCATGCCCCCAAGGGGGGCTACTTCACAGCACGTTCCAGGGGCTCCGGACCCGCCTGGGGAATGCCCTGCCAGCCACCCCCTCGCGTATCACTGGGGCCCAGCACGGCATGGGCAGGGTCAATCCTCCGGCAGGCCATTTAGGGCTTTGTGGGTCATAACCAACACCTTCAACTCGGCCCAGAGCCCACGGGCAGACCGCGCCGATCCAGGGGCATGGGGTCACGGGCACCCAGGAGGCACAGCGGGATTCAATGCCTGAAGGAAGCTGCCCACCTGGCACCTGAGGGGACCTGGCTGCCAGCTCCAGCGCCCAATGGGTGCAAACCTGCTGGGCCAGCAAAGGCCCTGAGCGCCGCAGGCTCCGCCAGCACGTCCAGCCCTGCAGCCTCACAACAGGCTCCAGGGTGTAGATCCTCACACGGTCCCTCGAACCCTAGCGCAGTTGGGTCACGCTGCCCTGTGTGCATGGACCATAGCGCACATCCCTATGGGCAGGAAGCCTGCGGCTCCCGGCCTTGCCCCCACGCCCGCTGCACCCTAGATTGTGGGATAGCTCCAGAGGCATTGTGGGAAGAGGGGCCAAGGCCCTGAGTCAGCTGGCAGGAGCACTGTGGCCACAGGGGTCACTGGCCTGCTCCCGTGTTTGGAGCTGTGAGTGGCTTCTGGCTGGGCCGGTGGAGTGTCGACAGGCAAGCAGAGGGCTGGGCAGGGTGGGCCCCTGGCTGGCGCTGGGATGTTCGCTCTGGCTTGGCAGCCAGCAGCAGAGGCAGGAGCGCTCTCCTGTCTGGTCCGGGCGCACCCCTCCTGCCTGCTCTAGGGTGCAGCACCTCGCTCCCGCCAGCACTGCTCGGCCACAAATTTCAGCTTGTTGGCTGCCAGCTGGGTGTCCTGTGCGGAGACGTCACAGTGCCAGACAGCCCGCAGGGAGCGCGCGGCCCACGGGAACAGCCGCACGCTGACAGCACGCCCCGTCTCAGCCACCTCCTCCTCGCTCACCGCCTGCATGCGCTCACACAGCTTCTCAGGGGACAGCCAGGGCACAGCCACCTTCACCAGCACCATGTTGGTCTCCACGGTCGAGGGGTCGACGGAGCAGATGGGCGAGCCAAGCTCCCAGACGCCTGGGGGTGAAGGACACACGTCTGTACCAGCGCCAGGCTCGCCCCCAATGGCACAGAGGGACTCTGCAGCCCCTGGGGTAAAACAGCGAGGGGCCCATCCCTCCTCTGTTCACAGGAGATGGGGCCGGGGAGCTACCAGGTTCCCCTTTTGACCGTCCTGGGAGCCCCTAGCTGGATCACCCCCCTCCCAGGGCAGGCAAATGCCACAGCCTCTCTGTGCCCAGGCTGAGCTCCCGCGATGTGCCCTGAGGGGCACAGAGGAGGATGGGGCCAGGACATCAGGGTTATCCCTGACTGAACTGGGCCAACCTCAGCTCCCCTGAGCCAGGGACAATGTGTCCTGGGGTCCTGCTGGCAATGCAGCAGGGTCCAGCCCACTGCCTCCTTGCCCTGCTGCACTGACACCCTCTCCCACACCTCGGCCTCGCTTCTGGAGCAGGGCACCTGCAGGCACCTTGGGCGAAGCTGCGGGCGTTGCCGTGGTCTCTCTGCAGTGTCTCCTCCATGCGCTCCAGCCCTACGCGGGCAGCGGCCGCCAGCACTCCTGCCTGGCGCATCCCTCCACCAAGCAGCTTCCGCATGCGCCAAGCCTCTGCCACGAACTCTCTGCACCCAGCAACCAGCGCCCCGGCCGGGGCACCCAGCCCCTGCACTGCCAAGAGAGGGAGTCAGAGACAGCCCCCAAAGGGCCTCCCACCCCTGTGCCCCCAAGGGGCCTCCCACCCCCACTCCTAGGTATCAGCTGCCTGCCCAGAGTGGGCTCCGCCTGGAGCTGCCTCATGCCTCTCCCAGCTGGCCCTAGGGGAACCTGCCCCCAGGTGCTGTCACCTTCCCTGCACCCCCCGTCTCTGGACACACCTTGGAGAAGCAGAGGGAGACGGAGTCGCAGTGCTGGGTGATCTGAGCTGGGGCCACGCCTTGGGCCACGGCTGCGTTCATCAGCCGCGCCCCGTCCATGTGGATGTGCAGCCCGTAGCGGTCAGCAAGCAGGCGCACCTGGAGTGGAGGAACATGGTGAAGCAGCTGGAGGGGGAGCCCCGGAGAGCTGCCAGAGGCTTGACTCAGGGGCCCATCGCCAGGCTGCGGCTCTGTGGAACCTGCTGCCTCGCCCGCCCTCAACACCCAGCCCAGCCCTTCGGTCTCAGATAGGGTCCTGCCTGTGGGGCCGAGCAAGCGTGGGTGGCTGCACCCCTGTGATATGGGGCGCAGAGGGCAGTTGGCCCAGCCGCTCGGGGTTAGCAGGCGGGGCAGGAGTTGGCTCTTGAACCACTAGACCAGGACCCCAGATGGCGCTTTGGGGCTGAGGCCAGGGCCGGTAGTGCCACCCCCCAGGAACCCTCTCATGCCAGCTCCAGGAGGCAGGCAGCTGAGAACAGCACACTCGTGTCACTGGCCTGTGAGACGCACCTCCCTGAGGTAGGCAAGGGGGAGCACCCGGCCCCCTGCAGAGCTGTGGGTGTTCTCCAGGCAGACGAGCACTGAGCGAGGGTGGTACCGGCTGCCATAACCCGCACGGACTGTCGACTCCAGCTTGTCGAGGTCCAAGGTGCCCTCTGGCAGATCCTGTAGCACCTGGGAATGGACCCCAGCTACCTGTGCCCGGGACAGCATGGTGAGTGTGGGCAGGCCCGCAGGCACCCAAAGCCATGCTCCGCCCCAGCGAGCCATGTTCACCAGCATGGGAAAGAAACACCTGACCATTGCTCACTTCCAAATATAACACCCAGGTGTCCCTGCCCCACCCTGTCACCCCCCCACTACATCTCCACCCCACACCGCCCATCTGTCCCAGCCCAGGATGTTCCCGGGACTCCGGGCTCAGCACTTGCACCCTGCTGCTCCCCGCAATGGCCTGGGCCCTCCTGCCCAGCTCTGCCAGGGGCTGATGCTGTCGAGCGTGTCACCCCCGCGAGCGGCTGAGCCCTGGGTTTGCACAGAAGCAGCCCCAGGACAGCTCCTTTAATAACAAGCCAAGAAAAGCCTGAGCCTCGGTAAAGGCCTGAAGCAGCAGAGGCCGAGGGAGTGGGGCAGGGGACAGCCGGGCACCCCGGGGCGGGGGAACAGAGTTCCTCGGGCAAAGCCCGGCAGGGAATTCTTTCCCCCACGGTTGCTGCTGCGAGCGGCCACAGGGGGCAGCAGCTAGCCAGGATCCACAGGCCTGCTGTGAGCAGCTTGAGAACGTGGGCAGTGCTGCCCCCCTGTGGCCCCGTCCCACACCCCCTCCACTAAAGATACCTGCCCCCCTCCGTGTTAGAGTGATGGGGCGGGGCAAGGCCTCGGGCTCCGCGCGCAGCAGCCTGGGGATTTGTTTCGGAGATTTGGGCCCTGCCCAGGTGGTGATCCCATGAGACACCCCCGGGGCCATGCAGAGACAGGGGATGCTCCTCGTCCATCCCTTGGCCCTTCCTCCATGCCAGGACAGGCTGAGAACCGGACCCACCCATTCCAGCCCATCCAAAGCTGTCCTGGGGCAGTGCCCCGGGGTCTCCTCAGCCGGGGGAGGGTGCCCAAACCAGGCCGATGCGCACCGCATACCTGAGCAACCCCGCCCTGTTCGAAGACGTGCAGATGGGCCTCCCTCCCGACGAGCAGCTGAGCCCCCCTGCGCTGGCAGTGGCACATCACTGGGACAAGAGAGGGCGGCAATGAAGCGGGACAGGAGGGGGAGGGGTGGGGGGAGCACATCAGGAGCAGTTCTGGGTGGCAGAGCTGTGTGGGGCACAAAGCAGCAGGGCTCTGGCCCCATAGACAGAGCAGATTGTGGGCCAAGTGGGGGTGTTCCCCTTCGCCAAGATGTCTCTCTTGGGGAGCGGCTGCCACAAAAGCCAGCTGTTGACTGAGCCCCTGGGGCCAGGGACTGGCTACCCCCTCGCTCGGCCACTGGAAACAGTCCAGGCTGCCCCTGAACAACTGGGGCTTGCCTTGCCCCCCACAGCACCCCCTGCTGGGAGAGGCTGGGGCTGCAGCTTTAATTCGGCAGAGACACACGCTTCCCAGCCCAGTGGCAGTCAATAGCCGCTTGCCGAGCCCTGCAGGTGGCTCGTAGCCCCCAGCGCGGTGCTGTCTGCCCACCCCACGGCACTCACCAGCAATGAGGTTTGCCATGGTCGACGTTGGCACAAACAAAGCTTCCTCCATTCCTAGGAGCTGGGCGGCCAAGCGCTGGAGCTCTGCATGGAAAGAGTCACAGGTGTGTGGGGGAAGGGGGGGCTTTCGTTAGCACTTGGGGTGGCCTGGGAACAAGCGCAAGACGGGCAGCAATGTGCCCCTCACTGCAGCAAGTGGGGCAGCTCACAGAATCCGTGAGCCTTTCGGGGGGGGGGGGGTACAGGCACCAGGGCACAGAGTAGGGGATTCCTGCTACACTGGAGCCCTCCAGTGCATTGACCCCTGCTGCCCTTGCAGGTGATCTGCCTGGGGTCAGTGCGTCCCTGCCCCAGCCCTGGCAGGAGAAGGGAGGGGCTGGGCACTTGTTCTGTTCACAACCAGACTTCGAAAGTGTACCCAGAAGCTCCTGCAGAGGCAGCATCCGCCCAGCTGATGTGTGGAGGAGGGGAGCCCGAGTTCACAGCTCCATGGGGGTCTGTTCCTGGAAGCTGATGCTCGGCCCCCTTGCCCTCCCCCGGCCCCTCCTCTCTGTGCGGTTCCATTGTGGGCTCCCCACAGCTGCTGCCACTTTCTTGCCCTGCTTGTGACCCACTCAATGGCTCCCTGGCTCTGAGTGGGGGGTGTCCCAGCCTCAGGGGAGAGGGGCCCATCAGTGCCCAGCCAAGGGGCACAGTCACCACAGCACTGCCCCCGGGCCTCACCATTGACTGTCGGGTCCTCCCCATAGTCATCATCCCCCACCTCGGCCTGGGCCATGGCCTGTCTCATCGCCGCGCTGGGCCTGGTCACCGTGTCGCTGCGCAGATCCACCACATGGGGCTGGGCCCCCCAGTTGCTTGGGGCTGGGGCGGGAGAGCACAACCAGCTTGGACAAGAATGGACAGGCACAGGCTAGGCAATGTCTGTGATGGCCTGGCTGGGCCAGCCCACCGCACCCCTCTGCCCCCGCCTGCACCCCTGTGCCCTGCTCCCCCACACCCCTCTCCCCCCCGCACCCCTGTGCCCTGCTCCCCCGCACCCCTCTGCCCCC